GTCATGGATGGCGGTAAGCTTGTTGCATACCGAGCGGGCGTTCAGGAGTGCAACCGAGAGAGGGGGGTTGGATACGGGGAGGAGGTGCACAGGTATGAGGTTGAGGGGGTTGCGGCGGCTGGCGGGAGCAGGGGGGTCCCTGGGGGGGGGGGTGAGGTGGTGAGGGGCCAGGATACGGGGAGATGTCCCCAGCGGATAGGAGAAGGGTGAGGAAGGTGGCATGGGAATGGGAAGTGCAGGAGTGTGTGGGTCTGATAGTGGTGGCACGTGGGTCGACGGAGTGGAGTAGCAGGAGGAGGTGGTGAGTGCCGTAGTGGGGAGAGGGGAGAAGTGAAGGGACCTGATTCACGGGTAGTCTCCAAGATGCATTTCAAACCCACAGCCGGGAACGCATATTTGCATGCCAGGAGTCACCATCATCCCAGATGGATTAAGAGTGTCCCTTTCGGACAATTCTGCAGACTAAGGAGAACATGTACCCGTCTAGAGGACTATGACATTCAGAATGTGCTGTTGAGGAAACAATTTTTGGAAAAGGGGTATGCAGCTAGTAATATAGAGGAGGCATATCACAAATATAGATCATTGTATTCTGAGACAAACATTCCATCTGTTGACCCTCATGTTTCACAGAAGACAAATACCCCCAAAAGTAACAGGGGCATATACAATGTTGCTTTTTGCACTAGATACAATCAGAAAGCTTTCAATATTCAGAGGATACTGAATAAATACTGGGGTATTTTGGCCCAAGACCCTCACCTTTCTGCACACCTGCCGCCCCAGCCAGAAGTCATCTTCCGAAGCCCACGGGATCTGAGGAGCATGATTGCTCCCAGTAGGGTCAAATCCACCACCACACGATCCATTTCGGCATGGAATACTATTTTTGACCAGAAAGGAAGCTACAAGTGTGGGGTGCCCGGTTGTGGAGCCTGCCCGTGCATGTGGCATAGAAAGAGGGATTTTATGGGCATAGATGGAAGAGTCTATCCTATCAGTCAATTTATTAACTGCGGTACGCAGTTTGTTATTTATGGTCTGGTTTGCCTGTGCGGAATTCTCTGTGTAGGTTGCACCACGCGTTCACTGAGGACCCGTTTCGGGGAACATAAACGTAACATACTGCACGGGTTTGATAAACATACAGTGCCTTGTCATTTTAGTGAAAAGCATGATGAAAGCCCCGTGGGTCTCAAGGTATTTGGTATTGAGAACATACAAGGAGACACCGATACGGGTAGCAGGTTTCGTAAACTCTGCCAGCGAGAGTCCTATTGGATTCACAAATTAGACACGTTGTTGCCTAGGGGCCTCAAAGATGCACTTGATGTACAATCCCTTGTTTAGTCCCCTCTTGATTTGTTTTTAAAATTTTTAAAAATTATAAAATTCTACGTTTGCTTCAATGCTTAGTCTTTGTATTGTAGACATGAATAGGTGAATTAGATTCACCATTATACTGTTTGCCTCTAATGTCTAGAATATGGTTCCACACCATTGCACATATTGTACATCTTTTAATAGTGTAGAGAAATAAGTATATCTAAGCTGCTTTTTGTTTTGCTTTGCTCTATTTTATTGTTTGCTTCCATTGCAATTGCGCCTTTCTCTCCCTCTCTTCCTCTTTCTTCCTTACATTGACTATGGTCATTTATAAAGAGTTTGTACTTGATATTACATTCTCTTTATTTTTATATTTATATATTTTTCATGTTCTCCACATTTTTTTTGCATAGTTTTAACATGGCTGAGTCTCTATTTTCTATGTTTTTATGTGTTATATGTGTTATATAGTTGTATCCGTTGATGGTATAATGTTCAATATATATGCACATGTTGGCATTTATTTATTTGCATATATATAACATATTTGTATATATATTGTACATTTTCTATATATATTTTTTACATCACATACATGCATCGCCATCTATAATTAATTAATTATTTATCATTCAATAAATATATTATATACATACATACATACATACACATATATATATATATATATATATATATATATATGTATGTACGGTATCCTGCCACGGTGGAAATCATGATGAAGACCCAGGATTCTCAACCATGCAGGTTGAGGTGCTCCAGGCAGATCTCATAATGCAGAGGAAACTGGTTTATCAGTTTCCTCTTTGGTTTGTAAAGCCTGTTTTGGGACCTGTAGCCTGGAGATTTCTAAGAGATTTGGGAGGGATGAAATCTCCAATCCTGGGCCCATATTTTTGGGAGCAGCCAGCGTGCTGATTGCACAGGTGTGTGCAGGCCTTTTTGTGGAGGCCAGGTCATGATTCTGGGCTCCACCCCGACAGACAGGAGTCAGGAGGGCTCCACCCCAGCAGACGGGAGGTTGCTGCCTTGGAGTCAGGTGGAAGCCAGACTAGCTGTGTGCTAGAAGTTTGCTGTGTGCAAAAGCAACCTCGTGGAAGGTGTCTGTAGGAGACATATATATAAAGCGGGATATCTGAGAGAGCCAGAAGGCTGAGTATTGTTTGCATTTGTGTGATGGTGGAAACCCCTGCGTGGGAAGCCTTTATGTTACAGGACTTTCATTTAAATAAAAGTGGGCAAAAAGGCCCTTAAAAAAGAAGCGAGTTGCTGTGTGCTTTGAAGAAGCTCTACCACTTGAAGCGAGTTCCCCACATATGGTGGAGGATGCGGGCAGAACTGGAGATCCCTGCAAAAGAAGTTCATCAGTTATATGAACTGTGTTTATGTGCATTGGACAGCACAATTTGTGTGTGCAGGTGAGGAGAACCTGCCTTAAAGAGACAGTGCTTCATTTCTTGGTTGTTGGACTGTGCAAAAGTGTTGTGAAGTGACTGTGAAGATGGGGTGATCAAAGCAAAGAAAAGAAGCAAGATTTGCTGATATGAGAGACCGAGCCCTGTGGCTGGAGGGGTTGTTATCCCCAGAACAAGCCCCATACATGGATGAACAAAGTTTGCCAAAGTGGGAAGTGCATGTTGTTGCTGCTGGCAACACTGGTGAAAGGAGACCAGCTATGAATGTGCAGAGTCCTAAGCTGGAAAAAGGCTGCAATGTGGGGAGCTTGGACAAGACACGCTGGCAAGAGCGATGCTTGCGGTGCAGGGAGTGGGGGCACACTGTCTCTAAATGCCCTTTGTCTCAGCCTCCATTGCAAAGTTGCATATCAAAGCAAAGGACTGCATCTGTGTTAGGCAAGCCGGCTCTGAGTGCAAGGAAGGAGCGACAGCCTGACCACAAGTTTGAGAAGAATGTGGTTGCCCATAGCAACACATGTGACTTCAGGCCTGCGGACCCTGTAAGAGGAGTGTCGTCTGCAGAGGATTGTGACAACGCAGAAATGAGAGTTCAGCGCATCTGGAGGAACCCACAAAGTTCAGCTGGGAGAGTGCCATCTCCCATAGCAACAGGAGAAAGCCTGCCAACCAGGAGAAGGGGCTACAAGGGAGATGTAGTTCCGTATCCCAAGAAGGTTATCGGTGGAACCATACCCTGCCTGGAATGTGGTCAGTTTGGGCATGGTATCTTTTCCTGCCCCAGATTATGGAATACCACTGATGAGGGTGCTACTGAGCAAAAGTCTTCATCTGCAAGCCCAGATTCGTTTTTAAAAATGTTGGCAGCCACCTCTGGCAACAGTGAAAAAGTACCTGTTGTGCCTGCAGGGGGTGCCAAGGAGTCAGAAGTGCCTGCCACAGTATCATCCTATAGCTGCATGGATGAACTGAGTGGCCAAAGCCAGCCAAGCAGAGGAGAGACTACGTACTCAAGTGAAGGCTATGACACCTGCTTCAGGAAATGGTAAGACTGTTTCAGTTTGTGGGACTGAGTCCAAGGAAGTGAGAGTGTGTCCTTCAGGGAGTTCCACAATACAGATGGACATGGACTGGCTGCTGTGTGCTATCCTGAGTAGTGGGGAGGCACAGGGAACAGCCCGATTAGCAGGACTAAATATGGAAAAGGACATGGGGACTCTGCAGGTGCCTGCTATAATCCAGCAGAAGGCTGGGGAAGGTAAACTAGGGGTGACCAAAACTGTCATGGCACCGTGTTCCCTAGTGACAGGCGCTGCAGAGATGCCCAGGGAAACCTCCCAGGAGCCTGCAGTGACGGAGCAGAGGATTTTCCAGGTCAGCTATGGAGCTGCTAAAACTGAAAATAGTGTCCCTTTAAAGAGAGAGAGTGCTGTGAGGCATGGCTCACAGGCTGCTCAGCTGGGTAATAGCCAGGGATTACCTGCAAAAGCCGCAGTCATGTCTATATGCAATGAGAATGCTGATGGTCATGCCGACAAAAGTGTTACTGTTGGTAAATGTAATGTTATGGTTGGTGATGGGCTAGCACAGCTCACTAAAGATAACAGTGTTGATGTGAATATGAGTAAAGATATGTTGTTTCCCTTGGCAACAGTATCCAAGGCTGCAAAGGTGTCCATGGAAACCTCCTGGGAGCTCTGTGTGTGTTGGAGCCAGAGGTTGCCTTGGACAACTATGGTGCTGCTCTGGACAAGAGAGTACTTGATAATTTAAATGCTAAAACTGGAATATTTGAAAATGCTCATGATAATGGGTTAACTGAGTCTGTCAGTACTGACAATATGTATGGAAGTGTTCCTGAGTTGAATGAAGCGCCATCAGAGTACGGTGGTGAGGGTGTGGTATTGCAACCTGTTGAGGTTAAAAAATTTAGTGCCACAGTTTTGTTTGAACAAAAGTGATATATGTGATGTGTCTGCTGAGTCACTCTGTCCTGTGTCTCCTCCAGCAGTTGATGCGGTACTGCGAAGTACCTCTGATTGGAGCGCAGAGAAAGTAGACTGGGACAGATGGGCTGAAAACCTGTTGGCTTTGTTGAATGGGACCTCTGCTTCCAACAGTGGAGTGGACATGACTTCTGCTGTGCTAAATGGAGGGCCTGCAGAGCAGCTTATAGACAAGGGCACACTTGCTGTTGCTGCAGATGATCTCCCTCCCAATATGGACAGGCCAAGTGAGATTGAGCACATAGCAGAGATCGTGCCCACAACCCACAAAGGATCCAATGGTGTGGGAATGAATAGTGTGATCCCAAATGAGCCAGTGTTGGTGGAAGTGTCAGATGGCACAAATCAAGTGATTGGGATCAGTAAACCAAATGTGGAATTATGTTATGACGGTCAGGTGTCAGGACAGTTGCTGGAAGAGGTTCATGTGCCAGTGGAGCTGGTGGATAGCAGCATTGCCATGGGAGACAACCACTCCACGCTGTGCACTTGGTCTCCAGACACTGCCCTGCCAAACATTGAAATTAATTCTGACAAAGGTGTGGATGTTTCTGACCATGAGGAAAAATGCAAGGCCCTTGTAAATGTTGATATTTATGATGATGAGGAAAAGTGCGAGGCACTGGTAATGTCAATCAGTTAGTTTCTGTGGGTGACCATAAGCCTAATGATGGACCTGAAGGTAATGTTGACATGCGTGCTGATAACCCTGAAACATGTGATGTGGTGAGTAATGATGTGGTAGACACAGCTGAGCTAAAAGCTGCAGTAGAATTAGGCCCCCTACAGTTTCAGGAGGGAAGTCTGGGAAGGGAAAACTTTAAATGGCTTATCTTCCCCAAGGGAAAACTTGAAGGAAGTGGAATATGTAAAGAGGTCCCCTGACATAAAAACATCTGAAGTGCAAGACAATCGGTCTGTCCTTCAGAAGGAGAGTAGGACATTGCTGTCGTCTGAGAATGTCAATGACCAAAGGAAGCATGCAGTGTACGGGGGGGAAACAAGCAGAGTTAAGTTTGGTCAGTAAGAGGATGCATGTACATAGAATGCAGAGAGGGTCTAAGGTAACCCCAATAAAGGAACCCTCACTTTTTGTGTTTAAAAGCGTGACCCCTTCAAAGGTAAAGGGAAACCGGCAGTTGAGAGTGCAGCATAGCTTTAATGTTACCCGACACCTAAAACTCAGGCGTCAACCTCCTCCTCAGAAAGGTACTAAGTTTCGGAAGTTCCTTAATGGGAAGGTGACTTGGGTGGCCCCAAGGAAAACAGAGAGGCAACGCTTTTGGAAGCGTACCCGTAAAAAGGCCCAGTGTCTTTTTAGAGCCCAAGTCCGTGTGCTAGGAGAACACAGGGAAAGTCACCTCGTAAGACAGGAAGGAAAGTTTCCCTTTGAAAGTGATGTCAGTCAGGAATGGGCTCATATGGGTGAAAGCTGGCACAGAGGTGACAAATTAAAGAGTTTGGTTTTTTTTTTTTTTTTTTTTTTTTTTTTTTTTATTTTTTTTTTTTTGCTTGTGTGTTCTGCCCCCTACGAGATCAAAACAAAGGGGGGGGGGGATATGTGGCAGTACGGTATCCTGCCACGGTGGAAATCATGATGGAGACCCAGGATTCTCAACCATGCAGGTTGAGGGGCTCCAGGCAGATCTCATAATGCAGAGGAAACTGGTTTATCAGTTTCCTCTTTGGTTTGTAAAGCCTGTTTTGGGACCTGTAGCCTGGAGATTTCTAAGAGATTTGGGAGGGATGAAATCTCCAATCCTGGGCCCATATTTTGGGAGCAGCCAGCGTGCTGATTGCACAGGTGTGTGCAGGCCTTTTTGTGGAGGCCAGGTCATGATTCTGGGCTCCACCCCGACAGACAGGAGTCAGGAGGGCTCCACCCCAGCAGACGGGAGGTTGCTGCCTTGGAGTCAGGTGGAAGCCAGACTAGCTGTGTGCTAGAAGTTTGCTGTGTGCAAAAGCAACCTCGTGGAAGGCGTCTGTAGGAGACATATATATAAAGCGGGATATCTGAGAGAGCCAGAAGGCTGAGTATTGTTTGCATTTGTGTGATGGTGGAAACCCCTGCGTGGGAAGCCTTTATGTTACAGGACTTTCATTTAAATAAAAGTGGGCAAAAAGGCCCTTAAAAAAGAAGCGAGTTGCTGTGTGCTTTGAAGAAGCTCTACCACTTGAAGCGAGTTCCCACAATATATACACACACATTTTGTATTGTCATTCAGATTTTATATTATTCTTTTGTGTCCCTGCTGGCCCGGCTTATGTTCCGTTAGAGGGTGTCATTATATATTATGTTATATATGTATACAATTTAATATAATATATATATATTTTTATCACTATTATATTTTTTTTTAAGGATTTTTGTTTTATTTGGTCATTTATATGCATATCTTATTTTATTATCTACCATCACTTATCAATTATCTATCAATTTTCCATAAATGTGAATTTTTTTTTTCCTTCCACCATTTTTTCATCATTATAACATTATCAATACTAGATTTACTACTATTATTATTATTACACACCATCTCATTACATCGTTTTGGGCATTCATTCAGCACATATAATATTCTGGCATTTGCTCTATTGATTAGTAGTGCCTTTCCAGCACTACTCAGGGAGCCACACTCTTCTCTTCTCTCTTCCGCCCTCAGGTCGACACATATCTCTGGCCAGTGTAAGGCGGTTCGGCTCCCCGGCGCATGCGCTGTCCATATGTTGTGCAGCGCGCATGCGCATGCATGGGCATGTACGGGTCACTTTGCATAGCGCAGGCATGCCCACAATATGATGCCTGTCACGTCCACAACAACCAGCGTGGCGGGATATACAAATGCCACGCTGATTTCTGTGCTATTTAGCTTTATTGTGCTTTATCTATATACATCACATGGAATAGAGACAACATTAGTCTTTGCATTCATCAACATAGTAATGCATCCATATTGCCTATCACTCATTGTAATACAGCTTCCTTGCTGTCCTTCATTGGGGACAGTCTATAGGATGGTGACAGTCCATCAAGAAGCATGATAACTTCTCTTGAGGGTACATGTGAGTACATCTATAATATATTTTCAATACTTTACAAGCATGAGTCGTGGTTGGTGACCCATGTGGTCCCTGTGTATATTGCATGTATTTCATTTTTGTGGGGTTTTTTTTTTGGGGATAGGTCGGCCTTTTTTTTTTTTTTTTTTTTGATTGGGCCATTGGGAGTGGGTGGGAGGGTCTCTTCACCCTCTTTTTGACATTTGTTGGTATATAGGCTTGGGACCAGCAGGCATGCATTTAGCTCTGAGGAAGGGGGTTCATCTCCCGAAACGCGTCAACTCATCCTTATTAACCTCCCTAGTGGTCTGATTATGTCAGTATTTCTGTGCTTAAAGCGGTACTTTTTTTTGCATGGAAATTTGTATTTTTTTTTATTGTAGGCCTGTAATTTTTAGGAATAACCCACTGAAATCTGTCCAAACAAGAGTCTAGCAAACATCCCGGGTATGATAAAATTTGAAAAACACGAAATCATAAATTATAATTTAATAAATAATCATAAAAAATAATAGTATAATAATAAATTTAATTCAATAATATAATCAAACCAAAAACACAGAAATCTGAAATATAGCGCCAAGTTCGCACATCACTGAGCAAAGTCGCAAAATCGTTTTCAGTGTCTGATGATGAATTTCCCCACAAATCATTATCACTCAATTCTGAAAGTAGTTCTAATTTACTATCGCTGTTCTCTGGCTGGCCTAAAACCGATTTTGACCTAAAGGGACACTTTTTGGACGCCATGGACATTTCTCAGTTTCCAGGCAGAAGAACAGTAAAAATGCAGGCAGGTCACAGGACAAAGCAATATGGACAAAATGTATGTGAAATGCTTTGATACAGTAATGTTTTACTATGTGATTTTAGTGAATGTCACTTTTTGTCATTTTCAAATTTCCCACCGTTCCGTCCCCCGTACGTCCCGACGTCGCAGGGGACGGAACCTAGATGACAGATGTCGGCATCCGCCAGATTACATTGCCGGGGACACTGCAGGAGGGACATCGCGGGAGCGCAGGAAAAGGTGAGTGATCGAGGGATTGCGGAGCAGCGCCACATTGTAAGCCCAAGTGTAGCTCGGGGTTACCGCTTGTGGTACTGAAACTTTACCCCGAGCTACACTCGGAAATACTGCCAGGGAGGTGAAGGGCACAGAATTGTATCCGGCCCTGTCCATCAGCCTCCGTTGCTCTACATAAGGCTCTCCCACTCCTTTGCTCCTCCTTGCCTGATGAAAGAGCGCGCCAGCTGATACTGGTCCCACGCATGCTCAAAAACGCATCACACACCGATGATGTCAGACGCCCAACGTGACCAACCCCAGACATTTTGGAGACTCAGCCAGGCTTCACCACCTATGCTTTACCTGATACAACACGACCTGCTGAAAGCCAAGGCTATCTCCTCTCTGGATCAGTCACCTTACATCTGGCTACAGACATTGTACATCACCTCCCTATGAGCCTGTTTTTAATATCTAAGATGTGAGTTGCTACTTACAGTGGGGATCGAAAGTTTGGGCACCCAGCTAAAAATTTGTATTAATGTGCATAAAGAAGCCAAGGAAAGATGGAAAAAATCTCCAAAAGGCATCAAATTACAGATTAGACATTCTTATAATATGTCAACAAACGTTAGATTTTATTTCCATCATTTACACTTTCAAAATAACAGAAAACAAAAAAAATGGCGTCTGCAAAAGTTTGGGCACCCTGAAGAATTTATAGCATGCACTGCCCCCTTTGCCAAGCTGAGACCTGCCAGTGTCATGGATTGTTCTCAGTCATCATCTGGGAAGACCAGGTGATGTCAATCTCAAAGGTTTTAAATGCCCAGACTCATCTGACCTTGCCCCAACAATCAGCACCATGGGTTCTTCTAAGCAGTTGTCTAGAAAACTGAAACTGAAAATAGTTGACGCTCACAAAGCTGGAGAAGGCTATAAGAAGATAGCAAAGCGTTTTCAGATGTCAATATCCTCTGTTCGAAATGTAATTAAGAAATGGCAGTCATCAGGAACAGTGGAAGTTAAAGCAAGATCTGGAAGACCAAGAAAAATCTCAGACAGAACAGCTCGCAGGATTGTGAGAAAAAACAATTCAAAACCCACGTTTGACTGCACGATCCCTCCAGAAAGATCTGGCAGACACTGGAGTTGTGGTACACTATTCCACTATAAAGAGATACTTGTACAAATATGGTCTTGTGGTGAGGCCGTAGAAAACCTCTTCTACGGCCTCACCACAAAAATCATCGTTTGAACTTTGCAAATGAACATATAGACTAGCCTGATGCATTTTGGAAACAAGTTCTGTGGACCGATGAGGTTAAAATTGAACTTTTTGGCCGAAATGAGCAAAGGTAAGTTTGGAGAAGAAGGGGCACAGAATTTAATGAAAAGAACCTCTGTCCAACTGTTAAGCATGGGGTTGGATCAATCATGCTTTGGGATTGTGTTGCAGCCAGTGGCACAGGGAACATCTCACGAGTAGAAGGAAAAATGGATTCAATAAAATTTCAGCAAATTTTGGATGGTAACTTGATGCCATCTGTGAAAAAGCTGAAGTTAAAGAGAGGATGGCTTCTACAAATGGATAATGATCCTAAACACACCTCGAAATCCACGGGGGATTACATCAAGAGACTGAAGGTTTTGCCATGGCCTTCACAATCTCCTGACCTCAACATAATTGAAAATCTATGGATAGACCTTAAAAGAGCAGTGCGTGACAGA